CTTCCCCCTACCCCCTACCCCCTCTCTCTCTCTCTTTCTATCTGTCTTTCTCTTCTCTTCTCTCAACCAGCAGTAGCAGCAGCAGCAGCAGCCTCCAGGGCTCGTGCGCGCACGATAGAGAAACGTGTGGAAGGAAGGAAGGGTGAAAGGAAGGGTGGAAGGGTGGAAGGGTGGAAGGAAGGGTGGAAGGAAGGTCGATGTAAGTGTGCGTTTGTGCACCGTGGCAAACCCCGCCCAAAGTAATAGCCGTGATTACCAAGGGATGATCCCATTAGGGCTTACGAGACTCATAACGAGACTTTTCGCTCGATCGAACTTTAACGCTAGTTCTTTAACGGACGGTAACCGATTTTAAAACCGAAAATCGCGTTCCGAAAAAAAAAAAAAAAAAGAAGAAGATTTTTCAAGTTTTCTAACGTTACGTTATTTTTAGTTTAACGGAAAGAGAGATGGTTTACTCGTTGATTTTATTTTTCTATCTTTCTGCGATTGGTTTTCTTTTCTTTCTTTTCATTTTTTTTTTTCTTAATCGTACGCCATTTGAAAAATTCAATCTATTGGTATATATTGGTTTACAATTAGAATGGTTAAGGATATTATTTTTCTAAACAAGATTTTTCATTAGATCGAATTTTAGATTAATCGCGTTATTCGTTATAAATGATTTCTGAAGTATTTTACAGTATTTAGTTTAACAAAGATTCGTCATTTTGTTACTATATGTTATACTTTTATTGTTAAATTATACGTGTTTGAAAAACTAAACTTAATGGTTGAAAGGTGGTACATGTTTTAAATTTAGAAAGTTAAAGATTGTTTCGTACACGAAGCCTAAATACAAGGAAGACGATTGCAGTGTTATAAATGTGTCTATGATATACAGAATGAGATGATGATTTCTATTGCCACTAGATAGCGCGTCGATTCGTATGATCTGATTTTTCAAATATTAAAAAACTTACCTTTAACTTAGGAAAAAAAATAGATAAATAAATCGATGAAGTAATTAAAAAATTATAAACTATAGAAAATTGAATAATTGATTATGATATAACAAAGTCAAGAAAAAAATATATAACAATAGCATGAAAAAATGTCGATAAATCATCCTATATATCTGTAAAAAAAATTGTGAAATGAAATCAATTTATCTTTAACTCAATTAGTATAAAATTGAATAATACTGCATGTAAAATGTAATTACCAGTTACCTTAAACTGTAAACCACAAAATCAGCAATATAAAATAACCTGTTGAGCTGTAAGAAAATTAATTCTAATCCTTTAATATTAATCCTTAATTAAATTAAGTCTTCGTGATTAAAACAAAAGCATCAATGAGAACTATTTGTTTCATTTGTTTATTTATAAAAATCACACGTACTTAAATCTGAACTTCTGAACACCACCGCCGCCCTCGCGGTGAATTATCGTACTCGGTATTTAATTATTTTCAACAATAAAAATTCGACGAAAACGCCTATCTCAATCGTCTTCCTTGTATAGAGCTTCGTTGTTTCGAGGATGAACGAGACTTCTAAACCTAATTTTTTACTCGATCGAAAACTGAATTTTAACCTAACCATAATTTATTATAAAGATTTCTAAATCATTGTATTAAATCATTAAATATAAAAAAACGTTGGATTATATTATTCCGAAAACTTTTATTTCTAAATCTAACATATCGCATTTAATATTGTCTATATAAATACAATATTTACTTTTAATAAAGATTTGCGGAGATTTGTTTTCTATTTGTTATCTTTTATAATCGTACGCGTTTGAAAAACCAAATCTATTGATAGAAAAGGTGGTGGATACCTCGGCTAAGGGATATGAGATTTTAGGGGGTGATTGGAGGATGAAATCGACGAATGAGTTCGATTGACAGTTTGAACAACGAGATCTAACGGCTATACGACAGCGACGAGATCAAATTCGAAAAAAGAAAAACAAACCGAAAGATAAAAATAAAAAATAAATAAAAAAATATATATATATATATACATATACGCGTGTGTGGGGGATGTATAACCACGCGTATACGGTGAAAAAACAAAAGTTACTTGGGGATGGGGGTTGGTGGCAGTGGCAAGTGGGTGCGGTGGGGTGCGTTGGGGTTGGGTGGGGTTGGGGGAGGAGAAGGGAAAATAAACAAAGGAGAAAGAAAAAGATTCGAGCAACGATATGTGGCGTGTCAGTTTCACGAACGATGACCCGCGAGACCAACGAATGACAGCCGCGACAATAAAAATTACGTTTCGGCCTGTGCCAGCTTTAGTACTCTCAGGGAACATCGTCAGACACTTGGCACGAAGAGTGTGAGAGATAGATAGAGAAAGAGAAAGTGAGAGAGAGAGAGAGAGAGATAGATAGAGACGACGTTATCATGATCAAAACGAATGGGTGTCCGCGATACAGTCAAACCAACCCTCTTTGCACGTAAAACGCGTAATTGACGCGGAACGTTATGTTCTTATCGTTAATTTTATCG